TTTCAAAGGTTCTGTTTCTATGTCGAGTCCTTTGACTAGTTTGATTTGATTTCAGTAGTACAGTTCAGGGTGAGAGATGGCTCTACTTTCAGCCTTCTGCAAGTGGATGTCCAGTTTGCCTGGTACCATTTATGAAGTGGGCTCTCTTTTTCCCAACATGTTTTTGGCCTTTTTAAAAAATGGCTAAGGCCATGGGGTTCTGTGTCTTCTGTTCTATTTCATCTCCACGTCTATTTTCGTGTCAACACTGTGTAGTTTTTGTTATTGTAGCATCATAGCATAACTTGAAATTCTGTATTGTGATGTCTCCAGCTTTGCTTTTTTTTTTTGCTCAGGTTTACTTTGGTTGTTCTGGGGGTCCCCCCCACCCCATGCTGGGATGGAACCCAGGGCCGCACACATGGTAGTGGCTTCTACCACTGAGCTACATCCAAGTCCTATTCTGTGTCTTTTCTTATCCCATGTAAATTATAGGGTTCTTTTTTCTAGCTCTGTGAAGACTGTCATTGGAGTTTCAGTGGGGATTGTGTCACCTCTGTGGACTGCTTTGGTGGGCTGTCTCTTGGACTTTGGTTGGGGTGCTGGATGTTGGTTCCCACATCCACAGGCACTGGGGCTGTGGGAAGTAAGATCCCAGTGGGTTTCACAGGTGTACCTGCAGAAACCAGTTCTCCTAATCTCCAGCAGAACATTCTCCTTTCTATCACCTTTGCTGTCCTATACCAATTTCTGCTGCTTTTATGGGGTGGGAAGGTCTCTGACCTTTCAGAAACCCAGGAGGGGAAAGGAGGGAGACAGCCAAGAACCCAAATGGTGATTGCTTTCTGGTAGAAGAAGACCACAACACTGGTAGTGCTCAGAGACTTTGACTAAGAGTGCTATTTTATGCCTGATCCTCACGGCATATTCAGCCTGGCCCTGGCGGCTGGCAACACACCAAGTCCTTCTAGGCACATCATTCCTCCAGGGGTGGTGGAATGCTTCCCTCTTGTGAGCATTTGGTTATTTTCAGGGAGGGATTATTATCCTAGCAAAGCTGATAGGTTGTTGGGGGCTGGAAGCCTCCTGTGTTGATTCTGAGAGTTCTAAAACTCCAGATGCCTCCACCGGGTACTGGTCACTTGTGACAGATTTGTGATGTTGTCATGATTTTAAATTAGCATTAATGAGTAAACATAATTAATTTGCTGTGTGAATGAACAATGCTAAAGAGATGCACTGTATCTACTACAGTAATTATAAAGTTAGAAAAAAGTGGGTTTATTCTTTCAGCTTTAGAGCATAGAAGTATTGGCTTAAGAAATTCATTTAGTCAATCATCTGATTAAAACAAATATTTTTCCTTGTACCAAATCCAAAATTCTTAAGGTTAGAAAAAAAAGAGTGAAGTCTAGTATCATATTTCCTCACTTTTCTTTTTTTTCTTCAATGCGCCATGGCTCTGTTTATTTCAGAGGATAGTATAACAAATTTCAAAAACTATTCAAAATAAAATTTTTTAAACTGATTTTAATTGACAGATTCGAGTTCAACATCATTTTTCGGTTTTTATTATTATTGTGCTGGAGATTAAACCCACAGCTTCATGCATGCTGAGCAGGTACAGTATTATTGTATCACTGAGCTGTAACCCTGCTCACAATATCATTTTTTTAAAAAACGGGGAACACTGACAAATTTTTATGCCATCATTGTGCATGGGCTGTGCTAATTTTCTCTGTGTCATTCAAATTTTAGTGCTACTGAAATGAGCACTCTATCATTTTTATGCTACACACATACACACACACACACACACACACACACACACACACGCACCCCAGTGAAGTATTCAGTTTGAGAGTAGCTATCATCCACTGACTGGGTAAGGCAGAGAATTTGACATTTGAGCTTTCCAAGTCAACAATTTTACCAATGACCTTGGACAAGTCCTTCAAACCCTCGCCATTGGCTTCCTTATCTTTAAGACAGACAGACCCATCCCTTCCCATTCTGATGTCGTGGGGATGGGGTTTTACAAAACACAGTGTATGCCAACCTTCCGTGCTCCCGGGAAATTAGCTGCATTTAATCTAATCAGTGAAGATCCTTTTCTAGTTCTGTAGAGAGAGACCCTAATAAGATTCACACCGCTTTTGCTCTGCGGTTCCCTGAGCTCTGTCAGAATGTGGCTCGCAGATAGCAGCTGTTTGTTTGTTGATCATACTCTTTAATGAACTTATTTGGAAAGTACAGAGTTGGAAAATGGATGTGTCATATATGTAGTGCTCTTAAATATGTGCAAAAAGTTTTCTTAATAACAATGGAAATTCTTTTCAAAAATTTGATTAGGGGGGAAGTAAAAATGCCCATTTATATTTGAAAAGAGTACTTCCCATAGGAAGTGTGGACTTGTTGACTCTATAAATTCGGTGGATTTTCCAGCCTCAAGCACAGCCACATTGAAGTGTTCCATAGTTCACAGGGCAAGCGTAGTGGAGTGGTTTAGGGACTGAAGAGGCTTTAGAGAACTACAACCTGTGTTTGCATTCTGGCGTCCTTGACTAAGCTAGTGTGTATTTTCTTTTGTTTTATCCATAGATTGAGAATTATCATACTACTCCTTCTAGAATTATATTGAAAGTTAACTACCTTGTTTGTTTTGGTAAAGATTTGGAGGGTGGTGGACCCTTTCCCAGTAGGTGTGAATTTTACTTCATTCTTCGTTTGCCTGTTAGCAAAGAAGCCAGGAGCTCTTCAGCACGGTAAATGGAGCTGCTGTCACCAGGAAGCCAGATCCTCTGACCTTGAGAACCTGGTGACCTTCACTCTGCGGTTCTTTATCTTTGAGGAACTGTTTCAGACCCGATGTGCAGCCCATTGTGTAGAATACAGGTAGCATTTAGAAGTGATTTTCCAGAGCAAGACAGAGTATACCTTCAAGTGTGAAGGTGCCCCGAGAGGTCTCAGGTTCTGTTTCTATGATTACCTGGGACTTTAGGGATTATTTATTTCCCCCAGGTCATTGTTCTTTTATGAGGAAAATGGACTGTTTTGACCAACTTCAGAGGAAAGGAGGCCCCTGTTTACTGCTCAGGTGGAATGTTTCTGTTTAGGTTGTTTGGAGACCTGGAGGTTTTTCCGCCCGCTCACAGATGGTCTGGACTCTGTACTGTTACAGCCCTGAGCCTTGTCAGCATGCTCAGAGAAGGGGACATTCTATAGCTTGTTTGGATTTTATCCATAGCTAATGATTAAGAAAACAAAGGAAAAATGACAAAAATATGTTTTCTTTGCTTTTTATTTAGCCCCTAGCTACCTGTCTCCAAGCCTGCCTAACAAAGCTCTGTTTTACAACTTTTCCCTCCTTTCTGCACCTCTGGGCTCTCTGCTCTCTTCTCTGTTGTTCTCTTCTAATTTCTTTTTCTGGAATGATCCCAACACTTTGAAGCCTCCTCTGAATTAGTTCATTTTTCCAGGTCCCTTAAATGCATATGCATGAACATCAACACATCTGTCTCTTTGTGCTTTCCTTCTCTCCCTTTCCTCCTCCTCCTCCTCGTGCCCTCCTCCTTCCCACCCATTTGTTTGTTTGTTTATTGAGTGGTGCTGAAGATCGAACTCACAGCCTCCCAAGAGCTAGCAATTGCTCTACCACTGAGTTATATCCCCAGCCCCCGATGGACACTTCTTTAAAATAACAGGGATCCCTCCAGACTTTGTCCTTGCTTCGTGGCAGATACACTTTAGTCTCCAAACAACAAAACTTTAGTTCTGAAGAAGACACATCAAACCGCATGTGAAGTATTTAATCAAAAACTTGTAAGGATCACAGCCCTGCATATTGGAATGTAGAGGAAGAAAAACTTGTACTCTCCACTCTCTTGGGCTATGAACTTACATACCTTTTTAATAGAGGGTCATAAATTGTAGAGAAGCAATTAGACAAAAAGGAAAGGAGGGTTGGTTGTAAGTTATGGGCAGGTGAGTAGGAAATGAATGGTAGATCATGTTTGTTTAATAAAGGTGTGTTAGGCAGACGCGTCTCCTCACAGTCTCCGGTAGTTAAGAAGCTTCTCTTCCTGGTATAGGAGGGAGGGAATGCTTTAGATGTGGACATTTCCTTTACGGATGGGATACTTATGTCCATTTTAGGCAAGTAAGGGAGAACAGAGAGCTCCTTTTGTGACTGCTGTTTCTTAGCAGCCTTCTGCCCAAAATAATCCTTCAGCCAAAGTGGCACATTTTGAGTGACATCGTCTGATCTCTTCAAGAACAATCGATACTCGGGAAAACATACTGAATTCAATAAGACTCTAAAAAGCAGGTACAGTGGACTCTTGACTTATGAACTCAATTTGTTCTTGAGGGCTGGTTGTGACTCAAGTTGGTCAATGAAGGCTCAGGCTCCTTACACAGCCTTCAAAGATTCTCCCCTGTACACGGGCAGATCTCCGTGTCAGAAAGACACTGGCCCAGAATTTCTCAGGATTTCCCACACAGGAAAGGATGCTGAAATTTCCTTCCAGAACTCTTTAAGGGTTAAATCTGTATCTGAGACCATCTGAGCACAAGTGGCCGGCATTCAGGTCATCACTCGAGACTTTGCTCATAGCCCAAGTTGTTCATGTCAGGTTGGTTGTAACTCAAGGGTCCACTGTATATATTCAACTGCTGGGCCCTGAACAAACATAGCTATGTAAGTTTTTATCCTCTTGCCCACCGCTCAGCCTTGAAAACCCATAGAGCACACCTCTTGGTCCAGCAGGCTCTCTTTTACTTTGCTTTGTTTGCGTGAAGATGGGATTATTTTATTGATTTACAAAACAAACATCAGGCAGAGCACTGTTTTCCTTCCTCAGCAGTGAGACTCAACCATGGTCATTTAGAGGTCATTAAGTTGACTTCTGCTTGTATTTATAACAAGATGCCTAGAGGGAAGGAGGCAAAGGAGGCCATGCTGGCTTGCACTTGCAGATTGTTACATATTTTTTCATTTTGGTTTTTCTGTTTGACAGCAGCATCGTGCAGGGTCACAGACAGCTGGCCCCCCATGTCAGTGGTCTAGGATGGCCAGTGAAGCCACCAACATCCCAAGCCCCGTGGTGCGCCAGATCGACAAACAGTTTCTGATTTGCAGTATATGCCTGGAGCGCTACAAGAATCCCAAGGTCCTCCCCTGTCTGCACACTTTCTGCGAGAGGTAAGCCTCTTTGGTGCTCCTCCGAGGGACTTGGACAGATGGACGTGGGCCGTAGGGCTTTCTCCCAGAATTCTGTCATTACTCTGGGAGACAGTGAGTCTTGGTTCTCCTGACGGACAACTAGAAACCAAGTCACTGAGTTGCCAGCAGCTTACTTTATTTCAAACTCTTGCAAGGAGGAGAAAGCAACCCAGGAGCTACTGCTAGTTCATTTCCAAAGAAGTCGGAGCATTAACTATTTCAAGATCACACATTTTTTGTGATTTTTTCCCCCCTTTGTTCCTTGTGGAATGATTTTGCTCACAGCTGTTCCCTCACAGAGTGTCCTTCCTGGGGGCCAGTTACAAATCTGTCATTTCCTCCCTCTAACAGGTAAAGTGAAATACCTGTGTACATAAGGGGTCATTTCAGATTGAACCTAGGCCCTTGCACTGAGCTGTATCCCCAGCTATTTGTTTGTTTGTTTATGACAGGGTTTTGCTAAGTTGCCCGGGCTGAGCTGGAACTTGCCTCACAGAGTACTGGGTGACAGGTGTATGTCACCATGCTGGGCTCTTATTTATCCTTCCTGAGAGGGTATCTTTTTGAAGAGAGGTATGAATGGGTTTTCAAAATACACTTTACCCCATCATTTAACTTACCACCTAAGAAATTAGGCATTAAAAGTTTGTAATTAATTTATCTGGGGCCTAATTTAGGTGTTTTCTTAGTAAGGTTATATGTTTTTCTTAAAAACACTTATGGTCATTACATATTGTAGCACTTTGCTAAGTAAGTCCTCTATACTTTTTAATCTAAGATACATAAAATATTGTGCTTCTTATTATGGAACAGAAAATCAGGACTTCTGATGGCTTCAAGTATGTACTGATTCAATTTACCACCTATTTAACCTTGGTATCTGAGACATCTGTTTTTTAAGTTGATGGGGGTCTCAGCTGCAGAAGAATAACCACATCCTTGATGTGGTGATGGGTAGAGAGAGAAGGTAGATTTGCTACTGTTAGCTGTGCTTTTGATTCCTTCGGGATTGTCATGCATGTGTGTGGATAGACTTGTTGTGTTTTAGTGGTATTATATGGTGCACCAAAACTTTTTTTTAATGCTTTGGCTTAAGTGCTTTGTAATTCACATTCCAAATTTATTAGACAATGTAATTTCCCCCACCCCTTGATGGATGCAGCTAAAACATAAATAGCAGCTAAGTGTCCATGTGTCCCTGTGCACAAACAGTGAGACCCCTATTCGATTTGAACTCGGTGCCACAGCCTGGCTACTCAGTCTGAGCTCAGCAGAGCCACCTCGGTCCTGGGCTCAGTGACTTGCCTTTTTCTCAGGTCCTCTTACTTTTTTCCAGCATGTGAGAAGCATCCTGCAGAGTTGTCCTTGGTCTGCCCCCACCCCCATTTCCCATCCAGTAATTAGTGGTGCTGACTTACAAGATCCCACCACCGTGAGTGCTGGCATTAAAGTTGTTCCAGCATATGCACAGTGAAGTACTTGCTTTTGAAAGTGAAGGTGATGTTTCCTTAAATTGGAAGATTTTGGGGCCAGGGATTTAGCTCAGTGGTGTCACTGCCTGGCTGGCAAGTGCAAGGTCCTGAGTTTGATCCCCAGTACCAAAAAGGAAAAAAAAAAAAAGAGAGAGAGAGAAGGTTTTTTTTTAGTAGTGGGGATTGAACTAAGGTTCTTGCTCTTGCCAGTCAGGTGCGGTGCCACTGAGCTACATTCCCAGCCTATAAGATTTTGTTTCTGTAGAGACAAAACTTCAGGGTTTGGTTCTGTCTCTAGATGTAGCTGTGGAGCCCCTTTAAACTAGACACAGACACACACACACACACACACACACACACACACACACACACACACACACACACACACAC